CTTATCATACTTAGGCAAATATAAACATAATGTAATATATCATCAGCTGTATTTGTTAATTTAACGAATCAATTAAGTTTTTATTCTAGACATTATATTAATGCATGCCTATTGAAATTACCTAGCCACCTAGGTTTTTATATTTTTTGAAATAATAAGTAATTATTGTTGCGATCAGTACTTTATTGATTTCTTACCACAAGAAGCAGAATATACCTATTATAGAAAATTATTATTTTAGTTAATGCAATAATGCCCCTCATAATTTTCAAAAAAATATGTTATTAGTCATGTATTTTATTAATCGAATGGTTGTACTAATAATCGAATATTATTATTATTATTTTTTTATAGTACAAATTATTCGTTACCGCCCATCTGCGGTGATATAGGTAATATTATAATGTGGAGAATTAGAGTATATAATAATAAATGTATTTGTATAAAAAGTTACTAAGTTGAAAATTATTATTCATATCATATATATAGGTACCTATTATTGTTTTACCCTGTTTTCTTTTTTTCAAAATTCATTCAAACGATAAGTATCAATATTAGTAATAAGTAGGCATTTATTAGGTAATAACAATTATAGTAGAATATTTAAATAAAAAAAAAAGGATATACTTATTTCCATAGAATTATAGAAGGGGAAAAAAAGGTTAATGAATAGGTATGATGTCCTGGTTTGGTAATTTCAAAATCTGGCAACCCTAAACATAGCCCATTAGTGATCGCCGATTTATAAATATATACTAATCTTCTGTAGGTACTAGCATAGTAGCATTCAATGTTAATAGTTCATACTTATTACGTATATCTTAATATCTTATTATATAAGTAACTCTATAACCATATAATTATAAATAATATTCTAGATTTTCAGAGGTATAATTGCAGGTTTCAATGTTGAATTGAATAACAATATCAATGTGGTTTGGTGGTATAAAAATCACCTTGTGTCACCATACATACAAGATAAAACCAGTGTAATAATAATTATGTTCCTAGAAAATCGAAAATTAACGCCACGTAAAGCGTAATAATAATATAATAATAATAACACAATATTAGTTATTACATTATAATATATTTATATTATGCGCCGCATAAACACCAAAAACTGAAAAACCGAAAGTCGTTTATAATAGTCAACACTCAACAGACGTAATGGCGACGGCCACCCTCGCCCACCCACTATGACTACATAATAATATACATATATTATGTATTATAGTATTATAATATTATCGACAGACGGATTGAGGGGATGCGTCAGCGCGGAGAAAACGCCGCCGCAGCGAAGTGTAGAGTGCGCTAGTGCGTATGCAAGGACGTTCCGCATCGGCCGTCAGTTATCTAACCTCCTCGGCACGCACGGTGCGGTGGCGTTGCGGGCGGACAAAGACGATGGTACCTCCGCGGTAGTGCAACAGAGACGGACAATCGAATCGACGCCGTGCCCGCAGTGACGTCATTCCCCCTCGCCCGTCAAAATGGCCGCACAATCGATCGTGCCACCACCGACGAACGCGTTTCTCCGTCTCAAACCTCCGCAAATAATGTCCAAAAGCAGTGTCCGCGCCGGCAAAACGGGCGTTTAGAACGCGCTGGACGTCTCCGCACCGGTCACCGGCGTTTCCGAAGGCATACGGTAAGCAAAACCGGCGGTTTCCCGCCGCACACCGATGGGCAGGGTTGTGAAGGGCTTTTTTCCCATCTACCCGCCGTCCGCCTTTTGTCGTGTGGCGGCGGCCGTAACGTTTTTCCCGTCTACACACACCCCTGCTCGCTCTCTCCGGCGTCGCCGTGCGCTCCGCGTTCCCTGCGCGCCCGTCTCCCGACGACTCACCCGTTCCACGGCCGATAGCCGTGCCCGTAGACGGCCGTCTCGCCGCTGCCGCGCGACTTTACAAAATGTCGGACGCGCGCGACGATCGGCCCGGGCCTCAGCGCCATTTTGGCCGGTCACGGCGTATTCGCGGGCCCGTAGCTGGCCGCGGCGTTGTATTATTACGTTGTACAATTGGTGGCGTTGGTTCGTCAGGTCTGTCGACGACGTAACCAAAACGGCACACTCGGGGGGGCCTTTTGTGAGTCGTTAGGCGCGTCAACGCCTGGGCTAAGCCCAAGCATTGTGCCGTGGGTATTGATTTTTTTAAGTCTCACTTGCCGTGCACCCAATTTTTTCAGTTAAACGCTTTTCCTATTTTGTTGTGTCTTCGTCCTATCCTATGTCTATGCGTTTTTCTCCATGTATATTGTAATACACAGTAAACATAATATTGTACATTTGACGTGTTTGTGTCGTACACTAACACAATATATACATAATAATATATAATTTTTATAATTTGACACTACCATGTTCGTGTAAGTGCGATATGTGTATATGTGCGAGACGCTTGTTCATTTGCGGTTGTACCGTCCAGTCGAGCCATTCTGGCAGTTGCTCAGTCGTAGCATTTGCTAACATCGACTGCTGTACTTCGCCTTTGTGCTCGATGACCTCGACAGGCATTAGGCATACCGCTTAAGCATAATAGGTAATTATTTCTGTGTGATGTAATTTGTAGATCGTTGGTAAAATCTTCCAGTATTATATACAGTAGGTACCTATATTGTTACTGAAACTTCATTGAATACCTTTGGTCCACGACAGCAAATCGTAATGGCCTTGTACTAGATTATTTACATTTTATTTATTCATATTCCCCTATAATACTTATTGATGTTGTGCATGTTGGTAAACATTTTTGTGTAATAATAATTTAATATCAAATATTAAGTCTACTAATGGCTTATCTTCATTTTCTCTACCTTGTTAGTGAGAATAATTATAATAAATAATCAAACTATCCTAAGTTATAATCTATAACGCCATTAGAATAATTTTATGAATCTAACCTTTCATACTTCATACTAATACATAGCCTTATTTTTTAATATTTTCATGGTTATAATTGTTTTTTTTTTTTTTTTAAATTTATTAATTTAAAGCTTCAACGACTGAAGTCAAGCTATACTGTGGGGTGGGTATTATTAGTTTTGGATACGCGTGTCTGTGTCACCTATCTGGGAACTAGTGGTACCGGCCGGTACTTACTCAGATCATTTTTTGTGACTTATCAAGCAACATAGAACTGTTTTGTACTAAGCGTTTTTTTTTCCTTACAATAATCTCACATTTTAAATACATTTAATTGCCTGTAACTAAATGTTATCAACCAAAAATCAATCAGTTATTAAAAAAAAAAAAAAATACCTAACCAATCATTATTTAGTTGTAGGTATGTATTGGTATATTGTATATACCCTTCGGTTATCCCTTTTTAATTACCTTAATGTAACTAAAAAATATTAGTAGCTTCTTTTTTGCATACATTCTATTAACATTTTTTCCCCAACTTATGGACAACATCTTCTAAAATAGTCGCTTAATTACAACCTATGTTAGTTACAGAAAACTATTAAATTTTCATTTAATCATTTTAATTATAAAAATAATAATTTCTTTTTCTTTCTTATTATAAATATACACTTATTATTATTTTTATTTAGTTAACTAAAAACTTAATGAATACATATTAAATTTGTATCACATGTTGCCATTACTAAATACATTATAGTAATTGACATTATATTGTGTTCATGCTATGTTATTGTAGAGTCTCATACCCACGTGTAGTAATATCATATTAACCCATATATCACAGGTATAAGCTATAAATATACAATTACTAATTACATATAATTTGTTTAATTATTTATTATATGCACATGGTACCTTAATAACTGGTGAATAGAAACACTTTAACTTATATCGTTGGAAAGGAAATAATAACAGCACATTAAGTTACAAATATGGGGCTTTTATAAAATCATTTAAAATTGATTTTATTCATATAAATGTAATACCATTTGTTATTCATTTGGTTTGATTGTAAATAAATATAATTGTTGAAGTTTTATAACATAAAACCATGTTTTTCATATATTATATTCTAGTTTTTTTTCAACATCTTTTAAATATTTAAACAATAAGCTAAAGTGGTGCCTTTAGTTGTAACTTTATCATAATAACTTAAAATTAAACTTAAATCCTTATTTTTTTTTTCTTTCATAGGTACATGAAACTAATAAATTTTGATTAGAATTTTATATATCGGCTCCAAGGTTCTGGAATGTAGTTATTCAGCATGTTTCTATCCTACCTAAAATTAATAAATCTAAGTTGAACATTTAGTTTAAATCATACAATATACAACAAACGTTTACTTAAATTTAATTCATTTTTACTAACATTTTAATTGTTGTAAAATAGTTTGAGTGACTTTTGAATGTATTGAATATTATTTACTCATAATAATTTGCGTTAAATTTTTGGAGGGAAAGTATTCAGATTCTCATAAAAATATATAATAATTGTACCTACCTATTAGTTTTTCTTAGAAGGTAAAAGTAAAAAAAAACTATACACAAATGAAAATCATTTAAAGATTATGATGGTCAAAAGTTATTTCCAAAAAGTGTTTCTATTTTTATTCAACCGGTTTTATGGTAGGTACTGGTTTGTCACTCCACTAAAACCGGGTTCACACTACACCATGTTGTGTGAACCCAGCTTAAGTTTAATTTGAGTTATAGTCCTACAGTACAAATTATAGTGTCATGATATGAATGTGTACATAATTTTTAAGATAATTATTTCAGTAGGTAGGTCAATAACAAACAAGTAGTACCTACTGTTCATTATAAAAAATATTGAATTAGTATACAATAGAAGGATATTTTATGTATTATTTATTACCTATAATAAATTATTAAATTATTAAAATTTGAGCATTTGGTTATTTTGATTTTTCATATGCTTGAGAATAATATGAATCCAATATTCTGATTATTAATTTATCGACACTGTCTTATCTACATTCAGACAGAATATAAATTAGTTTATCATAGAATTTTGTTTTTTGTTTGTATTAAAGGGTTTTCAACTTATGATCTGTTTTGCTCAGATTAACATGACAGAAGTGCTGAAAGCTAGTGAATTAAGGGTCCCAATGCCACCAGAAAATATGAGCATTAATAGAGATCGAAGCGGAGAACATCATCAAAATATGGATGGTCCACCACAGCCTGCGCATGCTCATTTCACACCTCCAACTTCAGTGTCTGATTTAGAATTGCTTCAGCATAGAGTCAATTGGGGTACATTCAGTAAGTTATTAATTATTGTATACAAAAAAAGTATAAAATATTATTATCAAACAAATAACAGTTAGGGCTATTCTTACAATGTCCGGTTTAAGTTTGCCGACACTTTACTGGACATAGTAAAAACGGCTCTTACAAATTAAAAAACTGTTTTCAACAAAGTTTAATTTTTTAAGGTGATCCCACAAAAGTATGCTCTAGTCTTATGCTTCAACTTGGAGGAGCTGCAGCTGCTGTTGGTTCAGGTCAAGGAGGATCATCTGGTAATAATCAGACAAATGGTAATAATGAACGCCGTACACACATCACAGGCTCTAGTCTCATGTTACAACTGGGAGGAGCAGCGGTAGCTACCGCACCGAGTAGTGCATCAGGTGGTACCCAAATATCAGGTTCAAGTGGTGAACGCAGAACCCATATCACTGATTCGCCATTTCATTGTGACATATGTGGAAAATATTTCTCCAGAAAAGATCATTTCAAAAATCATGTTATGTGGCATACAGGTGAAACACCACATAGATGTGACTATTGCGCCAAAACATTTACACGCAAAGAACATTTGGTTAATCATGTGAGACAACATACTGGTATGTATAATTTAGAAATTCCCATCCTAATTTATTTTGCTTAAACATAAATTTAGACACTAAGACGTCCATTATCTAAATATATATATTTAATTATTTTATTTTTTATACAATTTTATTTAAAAGATAGAGTGTAAGAAATATGTTCACTTCAATGTTTTTCTATCTTTGGATTTGTTCAATTGGTAAAAAAAAAAAAAAATATTATACCTACCTACCATCTTATTACTCTTCTTTATTTGTATTAAATCATTGGTTTTAATAATTAATCGGTAATTTGAATAGTTATAGTCTTCTAATCAGTTTGTTTTGTTTTTGTTTATAATTTTGTGTGCTTGTGTGTATATACGTGTACATTTACAGAAGTACTAACGTGTATATGTATATAAATTCAGGATAAATTAAATTGAAATGTTATTTCATTAACTATTGGTTCTAGTTGATAATATTTTATTCTGTGATGAGTTAGGTAGGTGTATATAGATGTGTTGAATTATTGTTTTCATCTTCAATATTACTACTTTGATAATATTTTATTATTCATTGATGCTGCATTTTTATTTTAATCTTTTAACTTTTGTCTTAAAGTGGTCATCGTTGTATTTATATTTGAAAAATTCTAGTGTAACAATTGGGAATTGCACAACCCTTGGTACTCATTATAAGGTATTTTCTAAATTATAATTTTTAGGTCCATTTGTTGTTTTAGTTTCCAATATTTTATACATACATTTTTAATATGTTTTGCTTGCTCAAAGCAATTAACGCTAACAATGTTTATATATTGTACAAAAGAGCTACATAATGTATTGTAAAGTTGCTACATGTTGATCCTGCTCTAATCTATCAAAATAATATTTTCAAAAGTGGTTTAAAGTTAGAAAAAACATTTCTTAAATAGTTATTTTTTACAATACCTATTTATTAATTGAATTATTTTATAGTTAAACTATACTGTACTTAATGTTCGGTAATTTAATACTTCAAGTCATTTTATAATTTATTATATTTTCTGTTAACCATATATAATTTATTATATTTTCTGTTAACCATATAATATATATCTTTGATACATTTTATGCAATCAATGACATGATTATAGTTTAACTGATGCATTACATTTTACTATCTGTTGCTGGAGTGTTCTACATTAACCGAGTTAAACTCAGTTTTGCATTATTGAAAAATTTGTTCAATTTAAAATAAGTATCATTAGTTATTGTTTTGAATTTTCATTGTTCTCATCAATAATGAATCTTTTTTTTTTATAATTTTGGCAGTCATACTTTATTTTTTACTATAAGAATTGGAAGACAAAAAGAACTTGATGTGCGTTATTTTCATTATTCTTACACTTAATCTGAACAATAATTGATTAAATATATATAATTAGTTTGTAGTTTTCAATTGCACTAGAGCGCTATATTTTGTTTGTTTTGTTAGTTCTATAAGGAAATTATGTTTGAATTTATTTCCTATGGTAATTTTAATATTATTCTGGCCTTTCAGTTCAATCAAATGATTGCACGTTATAAACAACATTGATCATTTATGTGATTTAGGATGATTACTTAAATTCTATGACATAAAACATATTTTTATGATGAGAAATATGTTTTTTTGCATGATTTTGTGTTAGTAAATTAGTCTATGTTTATTTTTATTAATTTAATTAAATTATAAATATGAGTCAATAAGATTAAAATCTCATGGCTATAAAACGAATCATATCAGATTTTTATCTTAGTAAAATTGCGGAGTAACTAAATATTTTCAAATTTCTATTTATTTGGTTCGTAGGTTAAAATACCATGTATAAAATAATTAAATTTGCCCATAATAGTTCCAAGGGTTGTGTGTCACCGAGATACAAAATTTGTTTACAATTTTGATGTTTTGATGTACTTACTGCAGTAGTCTAGTTCTTTGAAAAATATGAACGGTTTATAGGTGGTATACAAAACGCTGCCGAATATTCTATGAACATGGAGCCTGGTCCTTCTACTTATCGTAAGTTGTATTGCTCTTTAAGATTACATTCTTCCCGTTTTTTTTTTTTTTACTATTGTTTTTTTGTTTTTTTTCGTTCCATTGAGTTTTCTTTTCCGTTTTTTTTTTAAAAATTGTTATATATATAATATATATATTTTTATTGGTTGATAGTTTTAAATTGTTTCATTTTCGTTCAGGTGCCTGTTTGTTTTAATTTTGTTTATTTTAAGCGTATCCGACAAAAATAATGAACCGAAACATGATGGTATTTAATTTGAGTTCATTTATTTTGTTTCACAAATGCCTTATTTTATTAGGAAGATATTGGTTAGTAACCTAATCAATAATGTTGTGTGCGTGTCAATAATATTTGTCTATGTCCTGACTTCTGAATTAGAATAAAACAAGCAAAATAGGTTTACACAACACTTTTGGTATTGTATTTAAAAAAATATATATAGGAAGTATTAAGAAATAAGTATTGATATTATTAGCGCTCTAGTGTAATTGGTATATAGTGGACCAATAAAAATTCATTAGTCTAAGTCTTCTGTTTTTTATATTACTCTGAAGACTTCTTAATTTTACATGAAAATAAACATTTTTTTATGAGGTAACTTAAACTAAAAAAGAGTTTTTTGTCTTTTGACATTTAGCTAATATGTTTATTGGTCCACTGTATAGGTGAAACTCCTCACCACTGCAATTACTGCCCAAAATCGTTCACGCGTAAAGATCACATGGTTTACCACGAGCGTCAACACACAGGGGAAACGCCGTTCCCGTGCCAGTACTGTCCAAAGGCTTTCACTCGCAAGGACCATTTGGTGAACCACGTCAGACGTCATACAGGCGAGTCACCACACAAATGCACTTATTGTTTAAAAGTGTTTACGAGAAAGGAGCATCTGACCAATCACATCCGCCAACATACGGGTGAGTCACCACACCGATGTCACTATTGTCCTAAAACCTTCACGCGTAAAGAACACCTTACTTGTCATATTCGTATTCATACAGGCGAGTCTCCACATGCCTGTGAATTCTGTAATCGTACTTTTACACGTAAAGAACATTTAAAGCGCCACATGCGCCAGCATATTCCCGGTTCTGAGTATAATTGTCTTATATGTGATGAAACTATGCCCACTAAGGAGCAATTGCTTGAACATATGGCATCCCACCCACAAGACTACCCTTATGTATGTACAGATTGTGGTAAATCATTCAGGCTTAAAGGAAATCTTTTGTTTCATTTACGTTCCCACCAAAAAGGTATGCCCATGGATAGACCATTTCAGTGTGATCTATGTCCTAAAGATTTCATGTTTAAAGGTCATCTAGTTTCGCATCGCCGTAGCCATACAAACCCTAAAGTTCAAACTTCATTCCCAGCCACAATTCAAATAATTGGAAATAATTCATTTGTCATTAAGAATGGTAAAGAAGAAGGAGAATTAGTTAATATACATCAATTAACTAATCAAGCAGAACGACCCATTCAATATGATATGTCTCATAGGCGTAATACAGAAAAAAATTCTCATTTCCCTGCTACTATTCAGATAAGTAATGGTTCATTTGTACTCAAAGGTTTGGTAAAACAAGAAGGTGATGGACCTGAATTAATAACTTTACATCAACAACAGCAAGATGGAACTAGCATTCAGGCTGCTCAGTTAGTTAGTGTGGGAACGCAGGTTACTTTACCATCACCTCAGAATAATGAGCACATGACTCCACATTCTAGAGCTAGTTTATTAGCAGCTGTAACATAGATAAATGATTTGACAATTAGAAGATTTGAATAAGAATAAAATACATTTCATAATTTTCAATAGGTCAAGTTTGGTGTTCTTGTTCGCTAAGATAACGCGTTTTAAAAAAGAATTGACAGTTTCATATCATAAACATAAGAATATTAAATAAACAGTTACAGAATAGATTTATAAATCTACTATAATTCTTTGATATAAAAGTTATCAATATATATTATATAAATATATATTTTGTATCTATTTAATGAATATATTATTATCTATTTAATAAAAATATATTATAGAATAAGCTAACATTAATATGAAATCTAGTGCATTGAGTTAATGTTAGAATTTTTTCTTTATGTATAAGTTACAGAAAATTGTGTATAATTTTTTTTAATAATTTCATAATTATTAACAGTTAAATATCTTTTTAGTCTTTAATTTTAATCTGTAAGTCCTTAATGTGTATGTTTATTTATAATATTTTATCTTAGACTATTATTAATTGGTAAAGGTAACAATATTTAACAATGATTTATTTTTATAATTATATTACCTTAATCATTTTTCAGTCTTATGTAAATATTAATAAATTATTAATTTTACTATGTAGAAATCATTATTTCTTTGGTTTTTATTTTTTAATATTTTAATATTTTAGGTTTTTATTTATTTAATTATTCCATTTTACACATTATTATATATAATTAAGCATCAAGATTTATTTATTAGTTAATAAGTTTTTAATTTATTTTGTGATCGCACACAACATATAAACTGTGATTTTTTTCCCCAATCTTTATGCCAGGCAACATTTTTATAGCACTTGCACACAAAATGTGTTTTATTTGTGTGTGTGTGTGTGTATATATATATATATATTATGTGTGTATTTATGTATATGCATATATACAAAATTATAGAAGATAAATTATTTAATAACATGCTATTTATAGTCTAAGTTACAATATATGACTTATTATTCAACATCTCTTTAAAAAAAAATGTTCTTATTTTATGTGCCCATTTATGACACGAAACTCTTGTCAAGGTTAGACTCTGAACTCTATGATTAACGCCTATCATTTATCCATTATAACAGGGGGTTTCCAAATTGTCGGTTACGCCTATAGGCAACAAATGGTACGCCTAACCAAATAAAAGATTCATACAGTATGTCAGGGTAAAAATAGCATATTATGTCATTTTAGAGGGCTAAAAAGCTGGGATATCTAGAACATCAAAATTCTTAATACTGTCACTATTATTATCGTAACTTGAATTATTAATCCTTTAAATAATATACTGTTTCTATAAAGGGACTCAATTTGAAGTCTTAAATTGTTTTGAAAAAAATAATAAATTAAATTAATATTATGTGTATAATATATTCATTGTATTAATTCTCGTCAATAAGGGGAAATAACTATTTTATGTTAATTTTGTTGTTCTGTGTCTTCAAAACTTAAAGTTTTTGTGTTTGTTACAAATAAGATTTAACAGCCCGATTTGCGAAAAAGTGATTTGCAGGTGTACCATTGTTGTCTAAATAAACATATTTTTTAAACAGTTTCAATTGTTTTGCAAAATTATTAAGGCTCTTAAATAGAATTCCTTGCATATTAACTGGTAGATCTTCTGCACAGTACTGTGCTAAATGTTAGTGTGGACCAAATCAAAACCCATTTAACTTACAATATTAATAAATATTTATACATATATATATATATAAATTTATGTATGTATGTATCCATGTATGCAGGTATATATAATATTACACATACATAAGTGTATATGTGTATATATAATTATAATATTAATTATATTTATTTATTACAAGTTTGGGGATAAAATAATTTTAAAAAAAGATAGAAGAGGAATGAGAGAGCAAGCCTATTAATGTGACCTTTTGCAATCTGGTTGGTGGTGTTAGTCTTAAGTGGGCACTAAAATAAGTTACCTTTTTTTTTTATACAAATATATATATATACATATATACTTACTTAAATGTTCAGTGTGTGTTTGCGTGTGTGTGCGTGTGTTCGATTGATTGACATGGGTTTTTGTTTGGTCCACTGTGTAGGTGAAACACCTCACCACTGCAATTACTGCTCGAAATCATTCACGCGTAAAGACCACATGGTTTACCACGAGCGTCAACACACAGGAGAAACGCCGTTCCCGTGCCAGTACTGTCCGAAGGCGTTCACTCGTAAAGATCATCTGGTTAACCACATCAGGCGGCACACCGGCGAATCGCCACACAAGTGCACTTTCTGCATGAAGTCGTTTACCAGAAAAGAGAACCTGACCAACCACATCCGTCAGCACACTGGTGAGTCACCACACCGATGTCATTTTTGTCCTAAAACGTTTACGCGCAAAGAACATCTTACTTGTCATATTCGTATTCACACAGGCGAGTCGCCACACGCTTGCGAATTCTGTAATCGAACCTTTGCACGCAAAGAACATCTGAAACGTCACGTGCGCCAGCACGCGCCGGGGGCAGAGTACAATTGTATCATCTGCTCCGAGGTGTTCTCTGCCAAGGAACCGTTGCTCGAACACATGTTGACCCATCCCCGCGATTGTCCGTACGTGTGCACCGACTGCGGCAAGGCGTTCCGCCTCAAGGGCAACCTCCTGTTCCATCAGAGGTCCCATCAGAAGGGCATGCCGGCCGATCGTCCGTTCCGGTGTGATCTGTGCCCCAAGGATTTCATGTGCAAAGGACACTTAGTGTCGCACCGGCGCAGTCACACCAATACTAAACAACAATTTCAGTCTGGACAATTTACAAAAGACCACGGCACCAATGCTTCGTTCATGTTGAAACACTTGATGAAGCAAGAGAACGTGTCGGAAATGATCGGCCTGCATCAGCCCCATCCAATGCCCCAGCACTCTGTCAGTGTGGGCACACAAGTTGGACTGCCTGTTCTTCCTCCGCCTCCAAACCTCCATCTTCCCCCGCCAACCGCCGCTAGCCTATTAGCCGCAGTCACGTAAACTTCTTGCAGTTCGGACATGACGACTTTTTATTTCCAGTTTCGTTCTGTTTTTTTTCGCTGAAAATTTTTGTTTATTATTTTTCTCATTGAAATCGTCATTCATTTTTATTTATTTTGTTTTTTTTTATTTCATAGATTAATAATGTTTGGAATTTTTTGTCGGAAAAATATGATTTTCGTTGGTTTTGTTTTATTTAAACATTTTATTTATTACTACATTTACAATTTCGTTTATGTTTGATTTTATTAAAAATATGAACACCTCTGAGCAGCGAACCCATCTTGTTTGTGATCATATATACATATATTTAAAGTTATAATGGCTTAACTTGTATTGCGCGCAAAACTATTGATATCACTATCAGCATATTGATGATATGCGTGAGAACCGATGATGATCTCATTAAATTTTCAGACTTGTGTTTTGAAATTATTGAATTAATATTATTTTGGTGTATTATTACCATGTTTTTTTACTTGGGCAGTGATACTATTGTACTTTGGCTTCTTGGACTGTGCCTTTGAAGCATAATGACACAATAAATATTTCATTAAAAAAAAAAAATATATATATTACACATTCTAGTTTGTATTACAATTAAATTAATAATAATTTGGCCTTATAAGTATAAATTAATAATTATAATATACTGTAAAGTGTTCAGTTATTTTTTTGAACTGAAAAATACATAATATTATATCTTATAAGTTAAATAATATTAATAAGTTATTTTAAATTTAAATACTTCAAATTCTATTTTTAAGATAAATTTGTCTCATAAATAATATGCAAATATTAGAAATTTTTTAAACAGTATCAAGTATACAGTATACAATTGAATATATTGCTAGCTTCATCAAGTTAAATATTAGTATTAATTGATTTCTTCAATTTTATTTGTATTTTATAAAAATTGATCTAATAAAACTAGATAATAATATACCATTATATTAAACTATATCCACATTTTTTTTATTCAGTTCAGTAAACTAGAGATGATTATTAAAATACTGTTTAAATATAATAACCGTTAAATTTGATTTATATATAGCTAAATGTATGCTGAAATTTTATGTAATCTACTAAAAGTACTAAGTACATTAAGAAATAAAAATGAATGTGTCTTTAAAATAATATGCTTCTTAGGCTCAGGTAAGTATGATTGATGGGAGTATGTCTGGTATTCGTTGTAATTAATATTCTTGTGTAATTAAGGTCAACTCAATTTTTAAATCTTGAAACACTAAAAATTTAATGAATGTCCATGAAGGTTGATTGATTTTACATTAAATATTTATTTAATTTTACAATTTTTGTTGTAAATGTAGTAATGTTCTGACGACATTTAAGAATTTTTTTTTGTTTGTTTTGAATATATGATTTGTCATGATTTTTCGCGTGTATTGGAAATTATACTTATTACTTTATTATCTTTTACTAAATGTTGTCATAATTTTTTTAGCCATTTGAAATATAAAATTATATAAAACTACAATCTTTATAAATGCTTAAGTGTGTGAGCGTGCCCTATGTATAGAGAATACTATTATTTTAAATCAACTCTAGAATTAGATTTAGGTTATTAAATTAAACATGTATTAAACAAGTAATTTTAGTATATTTTTTTATGCTGAAACATTGTTACCAGCGTAGTTGTAATTCATTACCTACGCTGGAAAAATATGTTATAATAATGTAAATAACATAAAGCGTAAAAATATTGCCATTATATTATATTGTATATATTTACATTAACTAATAAATTATTAACTTAAGTTAGCTATATTATATATATTTTAGATTTTTAAATAATCACATCATAAAATGGTGCAATATTAACCAACAATTCTTTAGTAGTTTTAATTTTAATTTTCATATTTATTTTGCTTTGTAAAATAATTGCTTAAATCATCTTTTTCCTTACTTTTTTTTTTATTTCAATGAATTCAGTAATTTTGAGAACCAACTTGCCATATAAAAATGTTGTGGTCTTCCTCATTGTCAAAACAACCCAAATATAACTTTTAGAATTAATTCAAAATAGAAGATAGACTGATTACATTTTTCTTAGTTTGAATAGAATATTTACCCATAAAAACTAAATCAATAAAGAACTGTGTGCGTTAGTAAGTATTTTAAATTATTTTATCATGTTCATAAACTAAATTATAGCATAAACTTATAGTACATATTATGTACTATGTCATATGTACATAATATATAACTATTTTAATGTTATTGTTAATCATAATGAAGAATTAGTTTTAAGTACATAATTCATGTAGTTTTAGGGCATGTGGCTACTGAGTAATCTAGGCTATGATTTATAATTTTAATGCAAAAATTAAAGTAACTACGAGCTAATTTAGAAAGAGAACTTGGTTTACCAAATTTTTACCCCAAGTTATGTGGCCACTTGCACTATAAGTAGGTTTTAGTTATGAATTAATTATTTTTACAATTTATATTCCGTTTTTGTAATGAATATTGTATTGACGAAATATAGAACTTGTGTGAAGATTTACTATATAACATTCATATTTATGTTCTATTCCTTGTATATTCATTGTTCGAATACATATGATGTATATATATCTAATCATGCTATTCATATTTGGATAAATTATGATTATTGAAATATATAAATTATTTTTATAGGTATCCTGAAAGCCATTTTCATAAACATAATTCTTTTTAGTTATCATTATTTTTATGAAACTGCTCGTAAGACAAGAACAAATAAACGTTGAAATATAATTCCATGTACAATTTTTTCAGATTTAAAGAAATTTTATGTCATTATTATTTCTTATGTAAATTTGAATTACAATTTTACCTTGTACATTCTCAATCTTGTTAACTGACACTAAAAAAAATACTGATAAAATAGAATCTTTAAGTTATTGAATTAACATAATTTATGAAAAATAAAATATAATTATGAAAAGGAAAAATAAACTAACAATTATGTGGTATGTGGTTTGTATTTACCTAATATTATAATACTATTTTACTTACAAGTTAAGTATAGTATTTAAAAATAATAAATATACTAAAATATGAGTAGCAGATGTATAATATTTCTGAATTCAATATCTTAAAGGAAAGACATTTTTACACTTGCCTGTATAGAGAGTTTGAAGTGGTAAATTTCCTAACTGAAACCATTTATTGTTTTAAGTTTGTTGATATGCCTATGTGTACTGTAAAATACTTTTACTTATGAAGCAGTTAGCAGATATAAAACAGTAATGTAACAATAAACAAATAACCCATATATTACCATACCAGATATAATTGACTATGTCATTTTAAAAATAGAATATATATATTATACTTGTCTAGCCATATTCACAATACGTCTGCCGCAATAATTGCTTTATGACATATAATATTAGTGAAAAAAATTCTAATAATGATGTAGAATTTTTTATTTTAATTTCTGAATTAATAAATCGAATGTCGTCGACAGTATATTGGACTTTTAGAGAACTGCTGGTCATATGAATAGTCTTGCAGTGTTCCTCAGTGGCGTATTTAGGAATTTGTCATGGGGAAGGAGCCAGATAATTTACAGAAAACAGTGTCGTGGGGGAGGGAAAGCCCCCCACACCACTCAATTACCCTTAATTAAATTAAATATATACCATATTTATAAGAAGATTTAAAATTTTTGAGTTTTTAATTATTAAATAATAATATGTAAAACACAAATTTAAAAAAAGCAGGTAAGTGGATGTCGCTCTGCAGTACAGTAGGTTACAAATGGGTCAATGTATAATGGATTGTATTAAACTTGAATTCAATGATACCTATAATATTATTGTATAAGAAAAACGATTCTGAGCGGAGATGGTTTGTCAGTCTGGATATTTTTTTATTGTTATTATTTATTATAGCCTGTAAGTTGAATTAATATTGAAGTATATAATAATTTTTTTTTACTCGTTTTTATGGTGACAAACAAAACATAAGAAATTAAAATCCCATTTTTAGCGGCTTTTTGTAATTTGTCGGTGGTTTTTCCCTTGGCATTAAATAACTATTGAGGAAATCAAAAAATGACCTAAGCACCCATTTAGTAGAAATTTTGTATACAGGATAAAAAAAATAAATAAGTACACCATTGAAAAACCACCATATTATACATCTCTCGGCCCAGAATCTAATATAGTTATGTTATAACTTTTATAAAAATATTTTCTAAAATACATTGCTTCATTCATTGTTGATCTTAGATAACTTTTCAACCTTAAAAAGGTTGAAAAGAATCTCTCTAGAGTGGCTGTAGATATTGGCGGCAATGTACAAAACTACAAAATATTTGAATTAAAAAATGAACTCTATATTTTTCAACCACTTCAGTACCAAACTTATAACAACAAAAAATCCACGATATTAAAATATTGATACCTGAAGCTTCGAACATTTCTTACAAAATACTTCGTATTGCATTATAAAATTTGTTTTTCTTAATCATGTAAAAACACAACATTTAACACGAGCCAATGTGGGGGGGTCGTAGATACGCCACTGGTGTTCCTACCTATGGCAATAATTAATGTCTATAAATCCTATTACTATATTTTCATATATTATTATTCATTAAATATGTTGTTAAACTTTTGAAAAATTATGGTTACTTGAACAGCAGTTGAAAAAAAAATAAAAATGTTCACTCAACGGAAGAAAAGCTTATCGATGAGAATAGTATGGCTCAAATCAAGGTAAGTACTTTATAATTACAGATATATTTTATATTATATAATTCACAGACAGTAAATGTTGTATGTTTTTAGTGGTAATCGGTCCAAAAGTTTCCATTCATTCATATTTTGATTATCGGACAAAAACTCCAACACATAACATACCGCGATTACCGACTAATACTAATATTATAATTTAATTTTTATTTTTTTATTATTATTAGAGAAAACTAGAGTATTTACAATCTGTAATATTTATATACAACAATAAGTAAACTTGATGGTACAAAA